TTTTTATGTCATGAAGTCAAAAGAAAACAATGCAAATTAGTCTGTCCCTGGAGCATTTCCCACATTATTTGTCAATGTACTTGCAATCTAAAATAACTGAACCAAAGGTTTCCTACACCTGGATTAATCAATGTACTTGCAATCTAAAATAACTGAAGAACCAAAGGTTTCCTACACCTGGATTACGGAAACAGCCCAAAGGCAGTGGTGCAGACATTGGTCCCCTGGACTAGGTTTGCCAAGGGAAACTCCATGATTTCCTTTGAAAAGTAGCGTATCCTCCAGAGCCATCATCTTTCAGGCATTGTGGTAAAGCTATCTAATAGAGTCAGTCAAAAGGTGCTTTAACCAGAAATGATAAGCTTGTAATCTGAATGGATATTCTAACAAAGAATATATAATTTTCCATTTACATTACAAAGCAGTTCAGGCAAAAAATATGTGAAATGATGGATAGACAGATGGACAGACAGAAAGACTGGCAGGCAAATGAATGAATGATGTTCACCAGTTATTTTGGATAGTGCCAAGGCCTGAAACACCGCACAAATACTTTCATATGGTTGTGGTATGCTTTGCATTTGTGTTTCTGGAAAAGTAGCCCAGGGTGCTAGCTGCTAAACCATTCCCCAAATGGAGGCGATTAAGGCTTCTGAAAGCAGACTGTACTTCTCTCTCCCCACCCTCCTTGCTGTTTAAAGGGGAAGAGCCAACCATTCCACTGGGTATGCCCTCAAACCCCCTGAGCATACTTAAAGTAGCTCTTTGCTGCCTAGCTCCTTTAATGAGACTAGACCGGAGCAGCAACAGAGGGAGCATTACTGGTGCATTGTGTGTGTTCAACTGCTACCTTAGGATGACTTAAGGGTGCCATAAAATTTTCACAACAGCCATCCTAATAGTCATAAATGCCAATATCTATTGTATGGCCTCTGACTGAGGGTCAAGTGCCTACTCAGCTCTTTTAGTACATCTCTAACTGAACTTTCCACTTCTATACCTCCAGTGTCAGGATATATCCAGCCCTTTCTGCTGGCAGTACTGGCTGCCTGATGCCAGCTGTCTGAAAGGAGGAGGTACGACCTAGTCTGTTACTGTTCCACAGCAACCTTTGCTATGTTACCTGGGTCGATCCGAATAACAAGTACTCCCCACAATCAAAACAAATGGCTCCTTAGCATCCCTAAAGCCACTGTGAATGTCCAGTACACTGACTAATCACTGCTATGTTCCTTGACATGGAATTTTTGTTCATCCGGGACATTTAGGCTGCAGTCTATGCGTATTTGAGACTAAATCCCATTGAATATGGAGTGTAGAATCCAATGAGGTGCCCCTGCCGATAGACCTGGAGGTTTCAGTGGAAGCAAGTGATCTCTTCCCAGCCCTGCCATCATTCTTGTAGATCTGCAAAGGTGCTCTTCAGACAGCACACTGCGCTGCAGGTGGGAGGGGTGGGGGTAAAGCTCCATGGCACAGGCAATTGAATGGCAGCATTACCTTAGGTTTAGACCAGTGGAGCTGACTTCTGACCAAGCATGCATAGAGTTGCATTACCTGCTTCTTTCCCTCACCTGAGTTGCCTCAAGTCTCAAGAATTACTTCCTGTGTATTAAAGGGACAAGTGCACTTTCCAGGCAACTGACACGTGTTTCCGTGTAGTAAAAATGAGGTGCATTCTCTGACAGAAACACATGTGTGCCATTCAGCCTGTTACTCATGCTGGACACCAGGCCTGGGGCACCTGAGGCCTTCCATATGCTTGTGAACCACTATTCCCATAATATGCTCCACCACTGGCCATGCTAAGAGGGACTAATGGGAACTGGAACCCAATGTGGAGAACATGCACCCCTGCCATACATCATACTTCACATTTATTAACACTGCTATGTTATAATTAACACGTACCAAAGCACATCGAACCCACATCAGCATTTCCTGCCAGCCACAGGGAGTCAGAAGGAGTAAGGAGGACGCTAGGTGCCACCTCACACTTCTATGTATATTGGTGATCAGAACATGTGCGGAAGGAAATTCTAGTGTTAGGCTTCCCTGCTCACATTTCTAAATACACATAAAGTCAAAAACATCTGTGAGTCTTATACCTGAGGGTGTTTTCATACTATAGGCTGCAGAATTCTGTTATGTGATCGTACAATTGTTAGCTAGATTCACCTTATCTTTTGCATTCTCATTTGTATTAACATACTGTATGACCTAAATAAATAAATCAAGAAATCAATCAAGAAATCAATCAAGAAATCACTCAAGAAATCAATCAATCAAGAAATCAAGCAATCAATCAATCAATCCATCCATCAATCAATCAATCAATCAATCAATCAATCAATCAATCAATCAATCAATAAATGCAGGAGCTAGAATAGTATTTTTGGACCCACTGTTAAAGACTCCTTGGTGCCCTTTGTGCTGATGTATCTCAGAATCACAGCTAATCTCTTTACAAGTATAAACATTTCCCACCATCTTCTCGCTGCTTCCCTACACTGCAGGTATAGAAAAGTAAGAATCCCTCCCCCCGCAAAACAGATCTAGCAAATTACCACAGCAGCTCTCTGAGGATAAATACACCACACTGCTTATGTGCCAGTTTAAAGTTGGTGCTTATGACAAAGGGGGGGGGGAGAAAGTGCTGCAGTAGAAGTTGTGAATAAAAAGGGGAAGGGGAAGGGAAGTTCTTTAACATTATTTTATGGAACAGAATCAGTTTCCCTAGTTTTTGTTCCTGAAGTTGCATTTGTGTTTTGTAAGTTGTCATTTTTCAAAAGAGATGTAAGTTACTGCCAGATAACATTTGCAGAAGTGAAGGAGGAAATGTTACTCTGTCCAGGAGTAATTCGGTGATACAGCCTGTCTAGACACAGTCTTCCCCTGAATTCTGAGTAATAATTGCTTTGAGAGAGAGAGAGAGAGAAACACAGAGACAGAGACAGACAGAGAGAGAGAGAGAGTTGGAAAGGAATTCTCTATCAGCCGGTCAAAAGGCACTGAAGCATTCTCTATTCCTCTTGTGACTGGGTTCCAGATTACAGCATTATTACATTTTAAAAATCCTCTATGTGGCAAGAGTATCATCACTGTCTATACAACCAGCCATTCCTTTTGCTGGAAACATACTTTTAGTAAGAATTACTATAATGACACACCAAGGCTACCTATAATTGTTCTAGCTCATTCAAAAATTTCAGGGTGGGATTCCTCCTGCTCTGCTTACAAGCATCTTGTGGTGGCAGGATGATGGTCTGGGACCCTGAGCACATTTGATGAATTTTCCAAGCTCAGCTATTCCGCCTGCTCCAGTCCACCCCATACACCCAATGCTGGTTTCCAAAAAATTTCAAAGGTACCGTATTTTTCGCTCCATAAGACTCACCTTTCCATAAGATGCACCAATTTTTTAGGAGAAGAAAACAGGAAAATATAATCTGTTTTCTTCGCTCCATAAGACGCACAGACTTTCCACCCCTCTGTTTTGTGGGGGGAAAGTGCGTCTTATGGTGCGAAAAATACGGTATGCTATAACATACAGATACACAATGTCTTGCACCTCTTAGGATGCCTACAATGTTTTTGTTCCCTGCAGAAAATATGGTGATCAGATACTTTTAGAGATTGTTTAGCAGCAATTTCCAGTTCTAGTCTGGCACTGCTGTAGCACATCACCAGACATGTTCTGAAATGATGTGTACCTGTCAGTATACTGTACATGGAAAGCTAGCAATTGTTTGTGATTTTTTTTAGTGACCAAATAAAAGGATCACCCACCCTCACCTTTAAATTGTGAACAAGGACCACACAACAATTCTTTTTCATTCCTTTGCATTATTTTATGCTTGTCAAGCATGCCACTCTTCTGACACAGCACATCTAACCCAGTTCTACTGTACTCCCTATTGGTGAAAGAATCCTTTGAAGAAAGAATCATCTGTTGGTATTTCCCATTTCAGAGTGGGAGGTGGAGAGGGCTGTCTGGGCGGGAAATTCTTCTGGTTTTTATGTTTCCAACTTGGAACATACTCTGTGGAACAAACAAATGCCAGAAGCTCTGTCAGACATCTGCATCTCGGAGCCAACTAGCCATTCTTTGTGGTGTGTCCGGCAGCTGTAGGAGCCGGCAGCTGCTCACTGCCTAACTCTGAAGAACAGAATACAACACTATTTATTTGTCAGTATACCATGCTTGAAGCCTAGAAGCAGAGTTGTGGAGGTTGCCCTCAGAGGAGACTGGACTGATAATGGCTTTAATACTGGTAAATATATTCCAGTTATGTTTCCCACCAAGTGCTGCTTTATGAAAGATCAGGCGTTCTTTTCCTTTTCTTATGGTCTGCGGTACCAGCTTCAGAATTCCTCCACCTGAAGTGTTTTATAGCCACAGTTAATGATGCAGAAAAAGACACCATAGGATGCAGAGTTAAAGGGGACTTCAGGACAAAAGACAGCCTAATAGATCATAGTCCTGATGAAAAAAGAGACTATTAGGACTTCTGGAAGCTATGCTCGGATTCTCTGCTTTCCGTGTAAAATGGCATGTGAACGGCACCCACTTTTGAAGGGTGTGATCTGAGGAGGAACGGAGGATGCTCATGGATCCAAGTTGATATTTTCCAGAAGCAGAACCCCATCACTACTATTGTTTGGGGTGGGGGTGGGGAAAACAATTGTCCACCTCTTCCCTTTTCTGCAGCTCACTTGTGTCCTGCTTTGCTCAGAACAAGACTCAATATGGTGCCCAAATAATTATACCAAAGTGCAGAACTAGAGGCAATGTTGCGTTCCTATTAATATAAAACACCAGGGACAGTGTAACCTCAAGCCATCTTCCTGCAATGCTTTATGCAGATGTCTGACATACCATGCACAGGCACACATCAGTGAAACTGTAGAACAACTTTAACAGAGAAGGGCAAAACCACACACACATATACATGCACGCAGTGAGGTATACAACACATAATTCATTGTTAAGGACATACCTGCTTCCGATAGGGGCCAGAGACCGTTGTCCTGCCATGTCCCCAGGCCTATGGTGCAGATGGAGAAGGTGGGCATCTCCCTCACCTCCTCATAATACAACAGAGGGCCACTGGCACCCCCAGGGCGGCCACTCCTTTTTTAAGCTGCTGGCACAAGCGGCCCTGGATTGAAAGTTCTTTCCCCCGCTCCTGCTCAGAATCTGGAAAAGCCTTCACTTTTACCTTATATGAGCTGAAAGACGATGCTGGATGGCTGACGGCCACATCTGTCAGTGGTTCGGAGGGAGGCCATTGGCCGGGGCCTGGTCACATGGGCCTGCTGCCTTGACCTGCGACAGTTCAAGCGAATGTTGGTTTTACCCCCTAAGGAAGGCGTGCTTCACAATTTTCATATTTCTTCTAAATTTGGAGATTTCAGACAATGCTCAGAACGCCAGAGGCCCATGTGGAAGTCATTAAGACTAGAAGACGTATGGTTAGACACACACACACACACACACACACACAGAGAGAGAGAGAGAGAGAGAGAGAGAGAGAGGCCTGTCTGGCTGTTGCTTGCCAGCTGCAGGCCTGGGAACGTAAATGAACCGACTCCAAGAAAGTTGTTTGCAATAATTTACTTCCTCTCCAGTCCTCCTCCTGCCCCATTAGGGAAAGCAGAGAAGCTCTGAGAACCGCAGGCTTGGGAGAGGTATAAATCCAACTCCATCACACAGCAGCCATTAATACATATTATTTACCCATCACCCTACATTAATTGTTCCTTGGTACACAGTGGGATGGATTGGTTTGTCCTGCTCTCCCTTTTTCTCTGTGTCTGTGGTTGAATTCTGGGCTGATTATACCACTTAGCCAGGTGGTAATATTCTGGGTGAACAACTGGGTACATCCTGCGGTGTGGCACCAAATACTGTCGGGGTGTGCATCTGCTGCTGCTGGCTGACTGCAGAACAGGCTCCACTGAAGCCCCTCCGGGTGGGACAGAGAAGAGATCTAGAGATGTTGCCTGCCTTGTGGTCTTCATTACTCTGAAACGCTTCACCTGACCAGACCAAAAGGGGCAGTTAGGCATGTAAAAAGCAGCTTTTAAAAATCAAAAGACACCCATCTCCCTGCCCAGCCCCACCTCCTCAGCACTGCTGTGTGGTGTTGTGCCATCTCAGAGTGAGTTTGTGAATTTGCTACTTAGATGCTGCCTACATGCTGCTGACCGTGGTCAGCCAGGTTTTTTTTGGAGGTGAGTGGGTGAGAAATAAAAGACTATTGGGAATCTTTAGCATTTATTCAAGATTATGTAGATATGTGATCTTTTATCTAGAATGGCAGCCTCCATAATCATTATTCTCAGCTGAACACTCTTTGACTGCTTCCCCCCCAAGGCTAAGGGTCATGAGTACAATGTAGTAAGTGGTGGGAAAGTTGTTCTCTCAGATTTCAGTTCTCACAAGTCCGAGCTAGTATGGTCACTGAAGTATTAAGGAACTGTGGGAATCGCGGTCCAAACCTTCTAGAAGCCCAAATATTTGCTACCACAATGTAGTACATGTTATGGTCAATTCTGGAAGCAAACATAGAGACTAGTTTCCCCCTTTCCGCAGTTATTGTGTTTTAAATATGGATAATCTTGTTACATCCACTTTCATAATGTGACACTGACTTGTGAAGGAAATATACTTTGTTAGAGCAATCATCAAGTCACACCTTTTATCAACAGAGAATGAGACTCATCCTTTCCCCCTGCCAAAAAAAAAAAAAATTGAATTCCTTTCCACATCTTTTGCAGAACACCATCTCATGCCTTGCATTTTGTTGTCACAAGACACTAAAATAAAGCTCTGCTTTCATGGACCTGCTACATATTTATTCCTCCTAGCAAAGGAAAGAACACTTCCTGCACTATCTCATTACAAAACCACAGAATCACAGAGTTGGAAGAATCTCAGAAGTTCTAGTCCAACCATCTACAGTACTTACATAGGAAATAAGAGCAACAGCAGCAAGAACAAGAACTTGAGACACATAGCCTACTTGTGGATTCTGCACCTTTTCTCCATACCTGAAACTTGCAGGAGTGGACTTCCTTTAGCACTCCTACGTGCTTTTTCTCTGCATGAAATATACTGGTGAATGTGTAGACTGACCCTTATGTGAAAGGGCTGACATGTAGACTGCGTGCCCCCCTTGGCTTTAAGCATAAAGCCTAGTGCTCATTGACCACAGTGCCACCAAGTTGTTGAAAGTGGACTAGTGTTGTACATAGACAGTATCATGGAGACACAGAACCTATCTATATGTGTGAATTAGTCCTGGACTGGGGCAATGGGAGAGACAGATGACTGGCAGTGTGATCACTGATGATGAGCACTCTGTCCGTTTCTATGGAAAGAGTCTCCCTTTGTGATAATATGGAGGATAAGAGGCACCTTCCTCACCGCTGCCTCCAATGCTGAATCCTAACATGGGCAAATGAAGCATTCCCGAAAGGGAATATTTTGCTTTTATGGTTATCTCCCCCTTCTTATTTGTACAGAGGCAGAACTGCATCAACATACAATACGATGCCCTCTGCACCCCAGTGCTCAGAGGAACGGGAACTCCAGGGTGTGTATGTGTGTTTCTGTTGGGGTTTGTTTTCCTTGGAATCAGGACATTGCACACATACATTGTTTATCTGATATATGGTCCGAGTATCCTATACCTAGAAAACCCTGGAAATGGTCACCATAACTGGAAGTCAACTTGGCAGCATGGAATTCTTGTAACATACAAATTGATTATAGATGAGGATTCAGAGATAAAATTATTCATGTTAACTCCCCAAGGTAACCATTGGGTTAGATGGGCAGTATAAAAATCAGTCATTCAAGTCAGTCAGTCAGTCAGTCAAACAAACAAACAAATAAAAACCCTGACAGGTATCCCAAAGTTAGTTCTTGATATTTACTCCCTTTTAATTATTTAATCATATTTTAATTAGTGTACAGTTTAATTGTTTTTAATGTTTAACCTCTTGTGTTTTTAATTGTATTATTTTAATATTGTGAGCTGCCTTGGGTCCCCTTATCAGGAGAAAGGCGGCCTATAAAGAAAAGAAATAAAAATAAATAAGTTCATCACTCACACATTAATTATGTACATGAGCAATCAGTAGCCCTAGGAGCACATATAGGTCTTAGTTTGATCTCATGTGACACTTACAGAGCTTGAGACAGTTAGTGGGATTTTGGGGGGGAATCGACTATAACTCTCAGTATCTCACTGCCATCGTGGCCACATGGCCATTGGCCATCCTGAATGCTGGATTCCAGTAGTTGGAGTTCCAAAACTTATTTGTTTCAAGTTCTTCCTTCAAAAGCCCTCTGCAAGGTACAGTTCAAGCCTCTGAAGGAGTGGTATGTTGCTTCCCCTACTGATCCTAAATAAGAAGGAAGCAACAGGAAGAAGAGTTGAGTGGGAAAATAGAATGGCAGAGAAATGGAAGGGGTAAGTGAAATTAATAACCCGTTTTTAAAGACAATGTTAAACATTTGGTATAAATATAGAAAGAGTTTATGCCCATTTAACTCTCCACTAGAATTAGTGACTGAATTAGACAATTTTCCTGCCAATATGAAAGTTTATGTGCAATTACGAATTAGTGACTGAATTAGACAATTTTCCTTTCAATATGAAGGTTTATGTGCAATTATTTAAAGAAAAAAAGTGATTAAATTGAAAGACTGGTTGTATAAAATGAGATCGAAAGATCAAATGAAACGAATCCTTCAAAATAAGAATATTTCATGGTTGAATTATATGCAGTTAGAAAGATGGACTAATGAATGGGTAAAGAAATATAACAAAGGTAGAGAATACACAAAGTATGAACAATTTCTATTATCATATGAAGATATTCAGATGACTGATTCAGTAAAGGGTACAGTGAGTAAAATGTATGGATTCCTGCTTGACTTAGAAGAAAGTGAGAAAGAAGGATTGAAGTTAGTGTGGGAATAAGACTTTGGAAAAAGAATAAATGAGGAAGAATGGAGAAAGCTGTGGAAAATGAGGATTTTAAGATTTATGTCAGTGAGAATAAGAGAAAAAATGTTTTAAAATGGGCTTAAGATGGCATTTAACACTGACAAAATAAAATAAAATAAATGCTGGTTATCTGAATCTCTGTTGGAAATGTGAGAAGGAAATTAGTACATACTTTCATATATGGGGGAATGTGAAAAAGTATAAAGATTTTGGAAATTAACACATATTGGATCATGTAGGGCCAGTGGTTCTTAACCTTTGTTACTCGGATGCTTTTGAACTGCAACTCCCAGAAACCCCAGTCAGGACAGCTGGTGGTGAAGGCTTCTGGGAGTTGCAGTCCAAAACTCCTGAGTAACCCAAGGTTAAGAACCAGTGATGTAGGCAATCACTTTTATTTCAAATAGCTATATACTTTCAATCAATATCTCTCTTGTAGGGCTTATACTTTCATTCCTGCTTGTTCAATATTGTTTAAACTTCTCAATTTCCTCTCCTAACACTCTCAGCTCAATTCACTAACCCTCTCCTTCATTCTCTTAAACCCTAACTCCAACTGCCATTCCACATCCTCCAACTGTCTCTCTTTCTCTGTCTCTCTAACTCCGCCCTTCCTGCCCTATCCTTGGCTCCTCCCCCTTGAGCTTCTGTGAAGGACAGGCAGGAATGACATCACCTTTTGGCATTTCACCACAACTGCTTTGGAGTTCAGTCCCACTTCTAACCCACCATGGCACTCTGCTTTTAATTCTTAAAGTGATGCATTTGTCGACCCTCTACACAGATGAAACCCACACATTTCTTTTGGGAGTGGAGAAAATAAGCTCCTTAAAAATATCCTTCCTCCAAAAGGGCCCATCCCTAAAGAAAGATTTTGGTATCAAATGCTGCTGAACACTTGATCACTCTGCCATTGAGACTTTCTCCAGTACTCTTACTTGTTCTGCTGTTACTCTACTGACCAATCTCCAGTCAATCCTACAATTAGGTGTGCATGAATACCATCTACAATTTTGGCCCTAATTACTTATCCTATACATTTTGAACTGATTTATACAATCTGATTTGTATCCAGCTATTTTAAAGTATTTGTACACATTTGTATTTGTTCAAATCATGAAAAAAAATATGCAAATAGAGGAAAGAAAGGACTGTGACCTAGGGCAGGGAGATGAAACTCAGTGCCATC